AGAGAGAGAGAGAGAGACTGATTTTTCTATTCTTGGTTATATTTATTTTCAAGATATAATTCTTATATCTCGATGTTTTGCTTCTAATAAGTTTAAATTTCACAATTTTATTTCATAGTTTTTCGATTTTAAATACATATTCTTTTATATGATTTATATGATAGAACATTAATATAAAATTTGATTAGTCATGTTAAAAGAAATAACTGACGGTGCGCTAAATAGACACAGAATGTAAGAAGAGAAAGTTAACGCAATTATATATATAAAAACAAAAATAATATACGTTAATGAGTTTAATTAAAAATATTGTTCAATTAATTAAGTATAAGATAGTGGCAGTAATTAGTAAGAGCGAATGATTCTTCATAGCGCAAACTCTAATTAAACTTTATAATTTAAATGTTTTCATTTCACATACTCCATCAAGAATTAATTATTATTACTTTACAAACACAACACAAATAGATAACAAATAATTATCAGCATTAACCTAGTTTTTAATATTGATATTAATGTAGTACTAGTAGTGCATTATGCGACTACCGTTGTATTGAATGACACACGCGACGCGAAGATTTAAGATACAAAGGCTCTTCGCATTTATTTGATACATGTAAATGCATGCGCATGAACGGATCGGATGAAATATCTCTTTGCAGAGAGATGCAGAAGCAATTCGCACCGCTCTGTATCTCGGAGTGGCACTTGCGATCACCTGGATAATAGGAGCGGCGGGTTTGTCGCTGGCGTGGCTGGTTTTGGTCCTGGCACTGGCAACAACCATCGTTAAAGCGAGAGTCTCCCGGCTTCTTCAGACGGAATTGCAGCACGAACTGGCCAGGTTACGTAGGAGACGGGCCCTGTACAAAGACGAGACCGCCGAGTGGCTCAGTCTGCTTCTCAACAAGTGGCAAGTACCGTTTACAGTTATCGATGAAGCTAATCAGAAATGGGAATACGCGTGTGCCACTTCGCATACGTCAATGCATGTTATTACATCAATAGATGTACAGAGAGAACGATTTTGCTGACAATGAGATGAAAATAAAAGAATTTTCTTCAAAATCTTATTTAAAAATTTACTTTTTTTCCTCTTTTACAAATTCGAAAATCCTTTTCCAGGAGTTTCTCTTTATGAGTTTATCTTTATACCGAGAACGACGAAGAAAAAGTTTTTTCTTAAGATTTCAATTTCAAAATTTTTTGTCGTTCTCGGAATAAATTCCACCTCATAAACATGTATTAATGCGCATACTTTAATTCTGGAAAAAGATTTTCGAATCTATAAAAGAGGAAAAAAATAATTGTTATACAAAATCATGATTTAGTCGGTAATACAGACGGCTTTAGGATTCTCTTAAGTGTCCTACGTAATTATTTTGACAGTCCATCAAAATTATTTTGAAAAAAATCTTATCTTACTTTTTAGATACTTCAATAAAACCGTTCTTTCTACGTGGATATTTTAAAGAAAATTATTTATTTATCGTAGTATTTTATTTGCACGGTTTATTTGTAAAAGTGATTAAATTGATTAATTTATACAAACAACTTATATCAATATGTCTTTTTCTTTAGTAACTCCGATATATACGCCGCATCTACCAAAAACCTAATTTATTAAGTATTATTTACTATGTTTATAGTAAACGAACTATATCAGTAAAAACTTTGTACTGTCTACTACTATGAAAAAATATTTGAAATCCGAAATGTTTATTTTTCATATTAAAAAATAAACTTTTTGATACCCTTGCATTTTTGCCGTGTATCCCATAGGGATGGAATATATGGCTATTCATAGGAGGAGGGAGGGTATGTACGGCTCATAACAAATTTACACAAATAATATATATAAATAAGACATATAATGACACAATAACTTATAAAATGTGTTCATAAAGTTTTATTAAGAAATAAGAATGGTAAGTATGAAAAATGTAAGTACGAAGTAATAAATAATAATTACCATCTTCCTACATATATTACAAGTGTTATATGAAATATGTACATGAGGTACATATTTAATATAATGCGCTTATCGCATTTAGTGCACTGAATTCAATCTGCGCACTTTGTATGCTTTGGGCATAAATCCCGTTCGCTAAAAATGCCGTATATCCCAAACAGGTGGGATATACTATATAAGACAATAAACTAAACAAACAATATGAAAGCAAAGCACTTGT